GAGAGCGTGCATAAAAAAGAATGCCCAAATCTGACTTCATATGAGGAAGTTATGATTTTTCTAAGATTTGGCTTAGCAGTGCACAGTCCGAAACTCGAATTTAAGATCGAGCAGTTTTTGGCCAACGCGACCTAAATGAGAGTTGAAGATCTCATTAATAGGAACTCAACGATAAAAAGACAGACGAAAACAAAGTCTGTATGAAGAAGTTACAAATTTTACGCGGACATTTAACAGTGTAATATTTTCATACTATTAAATTTAAAATCGGTTGAGAATTAGCCGATGGAGTCAAAAGGAAAGTTATAGATATTTTCTTTACCTATGCGTGGATATAAAGAACATCAAAAACGGAGTTCGTATGCGAAAATTATGAATTTTTAAAGATTGGCTGTTTTACCTGCGTCCGGCGCCACGTGTCAGCACCAGACTTCGCCTTGGAGCCTACGCAAGGCTCACGCCGTGAGCACCCTTTCTCACGACATGAATCGGCCTAGACAACCTATAAATAGAGGCGTAAATCACCCCCAAAACTCACACCTTTCATACTCTTTCTCTCCCATTACCCCCAAACCCTCTTCCCCCTTCCCTAGCACCTCCTAGGTGTTAGAGGCGAGTCCCGGAGCGCCGGAAGGCTTCGAGAAGAAGAGCTTTCGGCTCAGAAGTTCTGCCCATACAGATCCCGACTCCTAGCCAAACCCCTGGTAAGTGAGATATGCTTACCCTACCTTAAGTATAGCTTATGTTTAAGTATAGTAATGTTATTAGGACCTTATAATGAGTATTTGGGCTATTATTATGGGCTATATAAGTGTCGTTATAATACCTTTTTAACTACTTGCGGTACAGGGAATCTGGTTTAAAGGGCCGCATAGGGTTGTTGGATTTCAGAAGTGCTATATGCCAAAATGGTCCTGCCCTCCGGTGTTTTATGTCTGGCCCCTGTCTGTACATAGTAGGTGAAGAGTATTGTTTAACGCTTATATAATAGTAATAATAGCTAGACTATTAATTAGTCTCGGAGAATATTAGACTAAACTCTATTGGTAATGATACTAGGTTCTGTCAAAGAATGTGTTTGAAGTAAACGAAGTGCTGTCCGATAACCAAGTCACCACCTTATCACGTGAGTGCATAGTTACTTTCATCTTACACATAGATATGAAGTATTTTATATAAACTACGTGCTATGTGTGCATAATATCTGTATACTTGCTATCTATGTTGGATGAATGATTTTATACATGTTTTAACTGATTTAAACTGTATATGTATTTTATATCTACAAAATATGTTGGGTAAAACATGGGTAGATGAAATATGAGTTGGATAATGAGATGAGAGGTGGTATAGACCATGAGATAAGGGTGAGAGGTGAAAAATGAGAGAAGCCTTTTACCCAAGTGTTGGCCCCGTCATTCAGCAGAATATGGATGACAACCACAGACTATTCTAGACAGTCCAGTGGAACACTAGCAGGCTCGCAACCTGTAGGTGTTGTGAACGATGTGTTCACCCGGTGTACTCTAAACCTTGGCGACCATGCAAAGTTGGTGCCTAAACCTTGGCGACCATGCAGACTTGGTGCCTAAACCTTGGCGATCATGCAGACTTGGTGCCTAAAGCATGGTGACCATGCAAACTTGGTGCCTTAACCCTGGCCACTATGCAGACTTAGTGCCTGTTGTGTAAACCGTGGCAACGATGGACTTCGTGCCGATTCCTTAGGACGATCCTTAGGAATGAATGAACGAGGAATAACTGATTCTTAGGGTAGATCCTTAAGAGTAAAGAAGATAATGGGGATGGGTAATTGGGTTGATTGTTTGATGTTTAAACATAATAATTATATTATTGTGGGTTGAAAACCCTATGTACTCACCAGGTTTCCCAACCTGACCCACTCAGTTTATTTGAATCACAGGTGTCGATATGAAGTTACATTACACTGAGAGATTAAGGAGATATAAATCACTAGTGATAATGAATGAAAGTTCTGTTTATGCTTATGTTTCTGTATTGACGATGACATCCCAATGTTTTAAAATGAATAAAATACATTTCTTCGGAAATTCTTTGATAACTTATTTATCATGTTTTTTTTCTGGGAACAAATTCCGCAACATTTTTATTAAAAAGGGTACTCTGATTTTTATAAAGCATAAACAAAAATCGGTCTTTTCTGGCCGTGAAAATGGGGATGTCACAGTTATCATTGAAAGACCACTCTATCTAAGCCTTGATTCTAGAAAATTCATCATGTTCTTCATGTCTTGAAGAGAGTACGGCCGTACACCTTCATAAGGTGGGCCGTACACTCCTTAAAGGCTCTCCAAAGTGAGAGTTTGACCCCTATCTTCTAGTTGGACATGACCCTAGCCTTGTTGCACCTTAAAGTTGACATTTTGGGCATGAGCAAGAAGGGTGTACGGCCGCACACCCCTATGTACGGCCGTACACACCTCTTAAGGCCGTGAACCCACTTTGATGATCCTTAATGGCCTCAAACTTTCACCACAACCAAGCATGGACCTAGAACACTTCATGGATGCTAGTATTAGCCTTGGAAACACCTCAAGAACACATCCCATCATGAGTGTACAGACGTACACTCATGGGCCGTACACCCATGGCCGTACACACCTATAGGGTGGTCGTACACCTCCCTCACTCAATCCCATAAGGTTCTAACACTTAGTGCAAGAGGTTCCAAGTCCCTAGAGTGGTTTCTTATCGTGTCTAGTAGTGAAATACCCTAATTTGGTTCCTATATGTATTATTACATGTTGAATAGGATCCAATTGTGTTCCAGGTTTCACTTGACACTCAGCCTCCCGTATCGATCCTTCAATCAAACCACTTGCTCGAGGTGAGTTCATACCCCTACGTTTTTCTGAGTTTTTCATGTTCTCAGGGGGGGGGGGGAATACAAGCAAAAGCACAAGAAATCTTGTGCCCAAAATATATTATTTGTTTAAGATAATTATATTTTCAATATACTTCGAATATGGAAATTATTTTTACCAAATGGGTTAAGAAATCAACTTGCAAAAGCAGTTTTCAAAACTAAGGAAATGAACTTATGAATCATGAAGTAAAAGATATTATTTTATAAAGGATTCATGTTAATAACAAAAAGGTTTTTCCTGTAATATTATCCGTAAAGTCGTTAATCTAGTTGGAGACACGTCCTTGGGCGCTTACAAACTTAACTAAGTGTGAGGACTACCCCTTATGAACTAGAATCTCCTGGAGGGAGAGCGTGATTTTTGTGTATAGATCTATACGGGACTGACTATCCCGCACCTTGCTGCTAGCTACAGTAGGACCGACAGGTCTACGGGTGACAAAGTCATAAAGGATACTGGCGCCCGACTCACGCCATATCAAGTTAATATATGGTCATAAAGCTCGCAATATAGATAACAACGATGTATTTACGTAATAATAGATCGAACGAACTAACTTCAGAGTTAATAACCAAGTGACTACGGGAGGGTATTAACAATACCTTCAGGATTTAGATCACCACGTTTTCAATTAGTTTTATTTATGTAATAAGACTAATATACCTCACTAGGAGTAACCAGGGTTTTTCAAAAGAAACTATGCTTTAACGATATAAGTATGGTAGATACTTGTACTCTTCAGTTTAGAACGGATAACCAACAACCTACCTTTAGGGAAAATATAGGATTTTCCCAGGAATAACACGGTATTTTATAAGGTGATGGTTTATCATTCAACTAACGGATATTCATGTTCATTCCATGACTCCTTGGATTGTGCGTATCTAGTATGAACCGGGAAGTCATGGAAGGAATGGGTTTTAATCATGCTTTTCATAAGAAAATATGGGATTTTCTTGAAGAACACTTTTCAAAAGGATCAAAGAATATTTTTCTCCAAAACTAAATGCTTATGAACTCACCAGGTTTATGCTGATACTCTTTCAAAACTGCTTGTAATCTCAGGAAAGTAGTAGACAGGTACTTCCAGGAGTTTGGAGAAGGCGGAGCGTTAGAGTCACGTCTTTCTATTTTACTCTTGATATAAACAAAACTATGTTTTAAGTCAATGTAAACCTTTTTCATATATGTATTCAATGTTTGGTTGTGTTTATTATGATTGATATGATACAATTGTGGTGATACTATACATGACCTCCTCCGCCCCCAAACGTTTCCGCCTTTCCGGTTTGGGGGTGTGACATAATATAGACTACAACAGATCATCATTTTATTAAATAAATAAATAAATAAATAATACAACACACACTTCTTATCGATGTTTGATTTTATTTTGTTTACCTTGTATCTTATGTTTATAAATTTGATATTTCAAATAATAAAACTTAATGAATCAAAAAGAAGATGATAATAAGTCAAAATCTGAAAGTTAAGAGGGTCAAATGTGGGAAATGAGATAGTTAAAGGATCGATTTTGCCAATAAATACATCTCTAGAAATTTATGTGGTGATGTTGTGATGTTTGATACGAATAATGATACCAAACAAAATAATTTCAGTATCTATCCTAGGACATTTGTTGTTTTACCAAAAAAAAGGACATATAATAATAACATCAATAATATCATCATGGTTGAACGAACGAAATATATAAGTCATAACCCAACTAAACAATAAAAGTTTAAACACAACCCAACTAAACAATCATACTATACTATAAACACTACTAGAAAAAAAGGCCTTTAATGACACGCAATTTATAACGCGCACGAGTTTACGATACGCAAAAGTGTGTGACCTCAAAATAATGTCATATCTCAATGTCATCTCTCCAAAATTTTGAAGGATTTAGGACGCACATTTTTGCGTGCCCTAAAATTTGTGTCAGAAAAAAGTAAAAATAAAAACACGGAGGGCACCCATCATAAAAGGCGTGTCGTATAAGTATGTCGCTTTATAATTCTTGAACGCGCCTCCGGACTATTTATTTTATCAAAAAATCGAAGGGATCATTCTAGGGTTCTTTTCAAGATGGGAGTGCTCCCTGCAACGTTGGCTACCTTGGCTCACCTCATCTACCAACGATCTCGACTCATCTCTTTGCACCGGCGAGCTTGGGCTAACCTTACCTCGACGGAGACCGCCACAGATGCTCAAGTTTACAAGCCTTAGGTCTGGTTTAATGACCATCAGATCTTCTTTGTGATCTATATCGCACAACAAGCCTCCCTCTCAATAACGTTGTCTTCCTTGTGTTGATCAGAAGTCGCAGGGCTTGATTCCGATATTTCAACGACTATTAGATCTTATTTCACCCCTCTCTCTACGCATACGGTACATTCCTCTCTGAATCCTCTCTTTGATGTCGATATCTCTATCTAGCCGAGAGAACAAAAGAGAAACATAACTGATTTTTTGTTGCGCCTTCTGTAATTTCACCTCTCTCTATGCGCCTTCTGTAAATTCCTCTCTGAATCCTCTCTTTGATGTCGATATCTCTATCTAGCCGAGAGAGCAAAGGAGAAACATAACTGATTTTTTTGTTGCTCCTTACTGCAGGCAATCAGGTTAATTGTCAAAGCCGACACATACCCTCTCAAAAGACCGTTTACCCATCCCTCCATCCTGTTTGACGCCAAAGAAGCAGCTGATATTGACCTTGATACTCTCTTTAACCTTGCCCTTTCAGGTATTGATATGAATAAATGGGTACATAGTGCACACCAACTGTTTGATTTTTTGCCTCTTAGAACAAATATAATGAAATTGTTCACCTCGGTGTTTCAGTTATTGAAGGTTGCAGTCAGGTGCTTCAACCGATGGTTTGTCGTTTTCTCAACTATTGCTAGTGTGAAGATCATGTGGCCAAGAACAGAAGAGGAACACAAACGTCAAAAAAAAACTGTGGTTTTGTGGCTTTTATGAATCGTGCAGATGGACAAGCTGCAAAAGATGAAATGCAAGGTTAAATAAATTAAACCCTTTTAACTCTTAGTTTGTTTATATTTATACGTATATTAAGAAAATTAATGATGTTATTTATTGTTGCAGGGGTGATTGTTTATGATTATGAATTGAATATTGGGTGGGGAAAATCGGTTTCCCTAACTTCTCAATCACTCCCTGCTCCTCCTCCAGGACAAATGGCCATCAGGAGTAAAGAGGTATGTAATGTTTTCATATTTTATAAATTTAGTATTAGTGTAAAATGTAAATACATGTTTTAATGGTTGAAAACAGTATCTGATTAGAATATTCTTTTTGTTTTTGGTTTTGTTTTGCAGGGTGCCACTGTAATCTTGTCTGGTCCATCTGGTCCTCCTCTTACTTCTGTCCCAAGTCAGAATTCTGAGTTGGTAGGTTGACTTTTATATGTTTGTGTCATTCTTTTCATCATGTGTTTATGTATTGACATTTTTAACCTTGGTGCTTAGGTTATTATTCCCAATGTACCAGATGATAAAGGTCTTACTGGAAGTAGCTCAGATTTGAGATACGATTATGGAAAGTTGTATGCATTGGATGGAGCTACCCATGCGACATGTGAAGTATTGGCTGCATACTTGTTGAATAATTTACGGTTTGTTTTCTTTACCAGAGCATATGGTTCAGAGAGCCAAGTAATTTTGGTAAAAAAAAGTTCAATATAATTATTGAAATATGATTTTGTTCTTTCTACACAATCTTAATTTAAAAATAGCTACAACTAATTAATTAACTCATGCACTTACAAGCAAATAAAGACAACAGCTCACTGGGAAGTCGACGTCGATGTTGATCTTTTTCACGCAAGTTCTGGTGCTAATAGACTCGTCGGTGGACTTTTCAAGGGGAAAACACTTGTCTATTCAGATCTTAAACATGTTGTTTTAAGAATCTCGCCAAAATATACATCTGAAGAAGTAGATAGTGCGATTTTGGTTTCTTCCCACATAGACACTGTCTTCTCAGAGTAAGTTTCTTCCATTTATGATTTACCTCTTATTCTTTTAATCAACTTCAAAATGAAAATGGAGTCTTATTTTTATAAAGGGAAGGAGCTAGTGACTGTAGTTCTTGTGTGGCTGTTATGTTAGAGCTTGCTTGAGGAATCTCCCAATGGGCTCATGGTTTCAAGAACTCTGTTATTTTCTTGTTTAACATTGGGGAAGAAGAAGGCTTAAATGGAGCCCATAGCTTTATTACTCAGGTGTTTCTCTCTTACCCTTATTTTTAATCACGTGTTTAAGTTATAACTTAACTTATAAAATCTTTACAGCATCCATGGAGTTGTAGCATACATATGGCTATAGACTTGGAAGCCATGGGCGATGGTGGAGCATCTGCTATTTTTCAGGTCTTGTTTAATGAGATTCTTTTTTAAAAAATTTTAATTTTCTTAATTAATTTATCAATTGTCACTTAATTTTGACAGGCGGGTCCGAACCCATGGGCGATTGAGAACTATGCATTGGTAGCAAAATACCCCTCTGGTCAAATTCTTGCTCAGGTGATATTCCTTTTTTAAACTATATAAAATGTTAGTTTTCTTTTTATTTATTTTATCTCAAATTCATGATTTTTATGTTGGATTTTTATTTAGTGGTGCAGGATCTTTTTACATTAGGTGTCATACAATCTGCTACTGATTTTCAAGTTTACAAAGAGGTTGCTGGTCTTTCAGGTATTGACTTTGCTTATCCAGACAATACAGCTGTATATCACAGAAAGGTATTCTTGAATTTCAAATCATTATTATTATAAATAACTTCTCAAATATTATATCAAATTAAAAGTAATAAACTTTTGCAGAATGACAAGTTGAAACTTTTAAAACCGGGTTCCCTTCAACACCTTGGAGAAAACATGCTTGCTTTTCTTCTTCACTCTGCTTCATCTTCTCAACTCACTAAAATGGCATCCAATGACAGAAATCAACATGATCCCGCCATATATTTTGATATTTTGGTACATTTAATTTAACTTTAATCAATATTCAATAGTAATTGATTAAATTTTTATATATTAAATTTGATGTGATGATTCAGTGAACATACATGGTTGTATTTAAACAAAGTTTAGCCAACATGTTATGCAACTCAGTAATAATGCAATCCATGATGATATGGGGTACATCAGTTATGATGGGTGGCTCAACATCTGGAATCTCATTATCCTTATCATTTTTTATCATCCTGCTTATGTGGATATTCTCTTTAAGTTTCTCAATTGGTGTTGCCTTCATTCTACCCTTCATATCATCATCTCCAGTTCCCTTCAATTCAAATCCATGGGTAGTTGGAGGTTTATTCATTTCCCCTGCTTTCCTCGGGGCTTTGACTGGTCAACATATTGGTTATCTTATATTACAAAAATACATATCCAACAAAATTGGGCCAAATTAGAAGCTGAAAGGTGGTTATATAAAAGTGGTTTATTGCAATGGCTTATTATTCTTGTTGTGGGGCATTATTTTAAAGTTGGATCTTCCTATTTTGCCATTCTATGGCTTGTGTCCCCAGCTTTTGCTTGTAAGTGCATGAGTTAATTAATTAGCTGTAGCTATTTTTAAGTTAAGGTTGTTGCAGCCAGGGTGCAGAAAAATACTTCAGAAGATCAAAATTAAAGTGGCCAGATGGTGCGGTTTCTAGGGAGAGTATTAGAGCAGTGCGGTCTCTTTAATGTCGATATCTTCAAGTCGTCTTCACCATCAGACCACATTAGTTCTCCCCTTGTTAAACGTGTGGCTCGAAATGCTTCTCCCCCATGGTGCCAAGATGATAAAGATGGTCATTATGTGTTTGCACTTGGATATAATCTAACTTCCTGATGTAACTACCCTTCACCACCATCAAAGAAACTTCTTTTTATTGATTGCATAGTTGCTACTAATAGAATACAAATCAATAGGAAACAATAGTTTTTTACTCTTTATTTATAGACACTCATAAAACTTATGTTTGTTGACTTGTATTTTTGGATATATATATATATATATATATATATATATATATATATATATATATATATATGTTTGATACTAACTAATTCTTTTCTTCCTTTGTTTGATTGCGTGACTGGCAGATAAGATTTGGTTGGATTAGCTTTTTCCAGCATCCTACTTGAACAACATCCTGATCTCATCATTGTAGACTTCACTGTACCTAATGCTGTAAATGGTAAATGTGTAATTTTATGATATACAGAGATATCAAATCATTTACATGTTATCATATTGGTTTATTGAATTCACCATGTTATGTTATGTTATGCAGAGGAGCATCTTAATGTATCATCTCACATCTCCTGATGGAACGTAAGCTTTTTATTTTTGATTCATATTATAATCAACTAATTGATTTTGAATATTTCTCTATGAAAAATCTTAATTTATTGTTATTATTATTTGTAGAGTTTCATTCCAGTTTCAGCACAATGTTTGTGGGAGATCAATTTATGCAGAGGGTGCTATTGATGCTGCACTTTTTCTCGCTAAGAAGGTGCTAATTTTTATTTTTTTTAATAATCTTCATACCTTTAACTAATGTTAATTGCTAAAAAAAAAATTACAAAAAGTTTGTAACAAAATAATGGTAATTGATCCGGTAACTAGTATTCATGCTTTGTAAGTTTGACTCGGTCAAACTTGAGATTGGATCATTGGGTCTTGGAGGAAGAAAGGTGACAATTAAAGATCCGGTAACTAGTATTCGTGCTTTGTAAGTTATAATCTATCTAAATTTTTTTTAAAGTATTTAATAAAATGTAATAATATTGTGTCTCCTAATAATTTCTCCAGCCTTTGCTAATCCAATGTCGCTTGTTTAATGAGGGTTTTGCTGTAAAAGGCACTCTTCTTGTCAATGAGAGGGTAAAATTTATGATATTTCTTGCAACACTTATGCCATGATGACTCCTTGTCCAAAGTTGGTATTTATTCTAATTACAACACTTTGCTTTTTGAGATGCTTAATAATGAAAATTGAAATATACCATTTGATTAATTTAGGTGAAAGTATGTTGCATGTGATGTCTTGTTACTTGTTAGTTTACATTGAATCCTTTGTTTGAACTTGAGGAACAATTTTGCTGGTAATTCATTATAGAATTACATTTAGGGGGGATTCTCATTAATTTAATCATACATGAAAGAAGGTCATACATACATAGAATAGAATAGAAAGTGTTGCTTTTTTTTGTTTTAGAAAGAAGGTCATACATACATACATAGAACTGTTTTGTTTTATCTTATTCTTAATGTATAAATGGTTTTAGAAAGAAGGTCATACATATATACATAGAATAGAAAGTGTTGCTTGTTTTTTTTGGGGAAAGTAGAACTATTTCACTCTTTCATATTAACTTTTATAATCTACATGTGTATTAAATTTTAATATTTTATATATGGGTTGTGTTGAAGCTTGGATTCTTGGAAAAAGGTATGTTACTACATGTGTATTAAATTTTAATATTTTATAACATAGATTGATGATGCTTGAAGCCTTTCTGAATACTAATGTGTTGATGATGAAAATAGGTATCATGTGGAAACAGAAGCATAACAATAAGAAGTAGAAACAAGAAGGTGTTCCTCAATAGCAATGTAGTATTAGGTTATATAGTTAGGGAAAACCTCTTAATAACAATGTACAATCGGATCCCCTTAATACCAATGTATTACAATTTTTTGACATGATGTTATGGATGAATGATTGTTTTGGTATATATTTGTTTTCATATTTTTGTATTATGCGTAAATGAGAATCGTAAAGACGCGTCGTAAATGTATATCGTAAATGGTTGCTGAAGTTTATGACACACAAATGCGTGTCATATTCATTTATGACAGGGGATTTAATGATACGCAATGCGTGTCCTAAACGTGCGTCGTAAGGTTACGACACGCAAATGCGTGTCGTCTTCCTTTATGACAGGGGCTTCCTTGATACGCATTGCGCGTCGTAAATGCGTATCATAAATGCGCGTCGACGCGCAAAAGCATGTCGTCTCTCGTTATGACAGGTCCTTCCTTGACATGCATTTGCGCGTCGTCTGAGCGTTTTACGAAACGCATTGCGCGTCGTAAAAGGTTGTTTTTCTAGTAGTGAAAGGAAGCATTTTTCCTTTCACAACATTCATTTGAAACTCTCATGCATATTTCCTTTCACCACATTCATTTGAAACTCCCATGACTTTTCAATTTCTTTCTAATAATGATTATAAGTTGGTTAATAAGGTTAAATAAATATCAAACCTAAAGTGTAATCATATATAAACTAAATTTCAATATTAAAAAATATCTTTACTTCTACATATAAAGCTATGTTTTTTTAACTTTTAACATATGATACTTAATTTAATTTTAATATATTGTTGGATGTAAACCATTATCATTTTAAAACTATAAATTTTGAACAATTTGTATAAAATACTTAAATTATTAATTTAAATATCATATCACATGGTGGACTTAAGTATAAATTTTAGTTTAACTTAAACAACCCAAAAAATATTTTGTAAATAATTAAAAGTGATAAATTGTAATGTCTTTCTAATCATGATTATAATTTGGTTAATAAGGTTAAATAAATATCAAACCTAAAGTGTAACCATAAATAAACTAAATTTCAATATTAAAATAATATCTTTACTTCTACTTATAAAGTTATGACTTTAACTTTTAACATATTATACTTAATTTATTAAATTCAATATGTTATTTTATGTAACCATTATGAGTTTAAAGTTAGAACTTTTGAACGGTTTGGACAAAATACTTAAATTGTTAATTTAAATATAATATTACAGTGTCAACTTAAATATAAATTCTAGTTCCATTTAAAAAACCCAATGAATATTTTGTGAATAGTTAAAAATGATAAATTGTAGTGCTAAATGCAAAATTAAATTGTAATCTCAATTTAACAAGAATATTTCCTAAATATATTTTCATAATCATTAAAAGTTTTCAAATAAGTAGCTTAAAATAACTTATAATAACAATAGTTAAAAATAACTCTATATAAATGATTATATTGTTACCTTTAAAATCAAAAAAACAATGTTTGATGTTTTAAATAATTATAATGATAGAAATTAAAACGTTAAACAAATGAATTTTAAAAAATTAATTAGCAATAACAACAACTATAAATAACATTAAACCATATATTATATTTAATTTTATTCATGAGTAACTCGCATGTAGAAGTCATTCAAACGATTGAGATTATGCAGTTATAATAGATGTATATATTATCATATAATTCAAAATAGTCAATATATTATATCAATTTAGTATACAAATTATTATATCAAATTTAACAACAATGTTATTGTTATATTTAAAAAAACATATATTTGTAAAGATTTCAACTACATAGGTCTTTCTGCGCAACGCGCAGGCATTCGCCTAGTAAAAGTCTAAACATAACAAAAGAGTAAAATTCATAAGTCATAACCCAATTCAAAACATAACCAAGTGTCAAATCACCTTCAAATGATTCTTAGTTTCACAAAAATATTCATCAATCTTGCATCTTCACGTTGCCACATTCATTTCCATATCCAATCTGAGCTCTAATTAGACGTACCAACTTCTTCCAATCCTATACAAATAGTATTAGCATTAAAAGGACAAAACATAACATGTCAAAATATTACAAAATATTAAAGATAAACAACTACCTTTATCAATTTCTTGTAGGTTTTCCCAATCTTGTTCAAAATCGATGAATTCTAATGTAATCATTATATAATTCATACGTAGAATCCATAATATATTTATTTTTCTCCTCCATCTTTTCTTTTCCATAACGATCCTCAAGTAGTATAACCAAATACTTTACTTTGTTCCTCGGGGTCAAGAATCAAAGCAAAGTAGAGCAATAAATTCATTTTTCTATATCACCAAAATACTTATCAAACTTTACTCTCATTGCCAATGCAATATCACAAAGGCTAGCATCGGAAATAGCATCATCCAAGAGTATACGAATGGAATAAATATCTTCAATGCACGTGTTTGATGTCACATATGGTGTCCCGGAAATCCTTTCAGTAACATCACAAAATGGTTTTAAAAAATGACACAAATGCCTAACATGTTGCCAATCGCTCGGTGAAGGAATCGATAAACGCCCCTTTTCAATGTCGGAACGAAACTCATATTCCTCTAGATCGTATCTCTCAAAAGTTTTTTCATAAGCTTGGGCAATATTCAACATACGATAAGTAGAGTTCCAGCTTGTTGGAACATCTCTTACCAAGTGTTTCATTGTACCCGGATTAACAAGCTTAGCAAACTTGATGAATTTGCCAATTCTTGAAGGTGATTTCCTAATCCACTTTACTGCCCATCTAATTATCTCAACCGACTTATCAACCTTTTTAATACCATCTTGCACCACCAAGTTTAAAATGCGGGCAACACATCTCATGTGTGTCCATTTCCCATTTAAGAGACACTTGTTGGAATTTTCAAAGATTTTTTTAAAAAACTCAATTGCCACGTCATTAGCACTTGCGTTGTTAACGGAAATTGTGAAAACATTTTTTATTCCCCAATCTATTAAGCATTTCTCAACCACTAATCCAATATCAACCCCACGATGACTCTCTTGAGGACAAAAACTCAACACTTTTTTTTTTCAATTTCCATTCATTGTCTACAAAGTGGGCGATGAGACACATATAACTTGATTGTTGTGTAGAAGTCCAAGTATCGATGGTCAAACAAATTCTACCAACATTTTTTTAATAAAATCTCGAAGTTTTTCTTTTTCTTCTTGAAACAATTGGTAGGTATTGGTTGTACTTGTACTTCTACATGGAATTTTAAACATTGGTTGAGTAATACTATTGTAATATTTAAAGCCCGCACCTTCCACAAAACTAAATGGAAGTTCATCAACTACTAACATGTGTGCCAAAGCCTTCCTACTCTCTTTTTGATCAAATTTCCAAGATGTTAATTTGTTTTCATCACCAAAAGCTATTTGTGTTTGACCGGCATTTACTTTAGCCAAATAAGGCACACATTTGTTTAAATGAGTTAAAAGATTTTTGGTACCATACCCTTTGCCTAAACACCTCTATCGCCCGGAACCACAATGCGTACATTTCGATCTTTCAACTCCCTCTTTGTCAGTAAATCTTTCAAATTCACCCCAAACTTTGGATCTTGGTTTGTACTTTTTTGGTTGTGTCTCATTTACTACCGGAACTGAATCATTGGTTGGGCTTTCAAGGTTAATCGTCTCATCTTCAATATACTCATTCGTTTCAGACATCTACAAGTATATAAAAAAAGTTAATAAAATATAAACAAAAATAGTTAACAAAAAGAAAACAGACAATATCTAAATTCTAAATCATTTGACAGCTTTATACATCAAACATCTATACAAAGGAATTCAATTCCATTCCATTTCTTGTAACAGAAAGCAAAACAAATTTCAACTTATTTCCAGAACATATAGATCAAACATTTGAGAGTTTTATACATCAAACATTTATACATCAAACATCTATATTTTTTATTTTTCTGCAGCAAATCAACTAATATTTTTTATTTTTATAAACAGATTCAACAAACTAGACAACAAAGAAATCAAAACGAACATATTTTTTTGCATAGTTATTCCTAAGCTAAACAGAGTGTGAATCAAACCAACATATTTTAAACTGTGATTAACAACAACACAACAAAGAAATCAAAGAGGATGCAAAATTTTTAACCTGTGATTGTGATTGCATACTCGAACCGTCTTTTGATCGATCAAGGTTCAAGGAGTCTGGGAATTTTCAGTGTGATCAGATGGAGAGGGAAGCGCCACAGGTGGAAGCAATTAGCGGTTGTCGACAGGTCATAACTTCTTCGTTATAAGTCGGATTTCGGTGTTCTTTATA